CCAGCACGACCACACCCCAGCAGGACCCCACCCCAGCACGACCCCACCCCAGCACGGCCCCACCCCAGCAAGACCACACCCCAGCACGACCACACCCCAGCACGACCTCACCACAGCACGACCACACCCCAGCACGACCACGCCCCAGCACGACCACGCCCCAGCACGACCACGCCCCAGCACGACCACCCCCCAGCACGACCACCCCCCCAGCACGACCACCCCCCAGCACGACCACCCCCCAGCACGACCACACCCCAGCACGACCACTCCCCAGCACGACCACACCCCAGCACGACCCCACCCCAGCACGACCCCCCCCTAGCACGACCACACCCCAGCACGATCACACCCCAGAACGACCACACCCCAGCACGACCCCACCCCAGCACGACCCCACCCCAGCACGACCACACCCCAGCACGACCCCACCCCACACCCCACCCACACACGACCACCCCAGCACGACCCCACCCAGCACGACCACACCCCAGCACGACCACGCCCCAGCACGACCACAGACCACACCCCAGCACGACCACCCCCCCCAGCACGACCACCCCCCAGCACGACCACCCCCCAGCACGACCACACCCCAGCACGACCACTCCCCAGCACGACCACACCGCCTTGGTTGAGTGGTTGCCTGTCGTCGTGGAATGTTTCGTGGGGTGTCTCGTGGAATGTTTCGCGGGGTGTCTCGTGGAATGTTTCGTGAGGTGTCTCGTGGAATGTTTCGTGAGGTGTCTCGTGGGATGTTTCGTGAAGTGTCTCGTGGGATGTTTCGTGAGGTGTTGCCCAGTTGGGTATCGTGAAAACGTGTCCATGCTCCACATGTCTATATCCCTTTCCGGGTTCGTGGGTCCATCATGTTTTTTTCAACGCCTTCCTGCTTAATGTTTCTACCTACTTTTTCCCGGAAAGGGCGCAGGCCCAGGGTTCTCTTTTAGTTTTGTTTCCCCCCGGTTTTGACGGCTGTAGGGCCGGCGAATTTCTTTTGCGATAAATAACGAGGTCGCGTAGGGCCGGCGAATTAAAAATTGAGGATGTCTCGAGCGAAACGCTAGTTTTTTCAGAATTTGTTGAGGATGTCTCGAGCGAAACGCTTGTTTTGTGTGATAGATTGTCTTCTCCTGGGGACCAGAATTCAGAGGATCTCTGAAGTAAAATGCTTGTTTTCACGTGCCCAGGTCTTGAGGATGTCTCGAGCGAGACGCTTGGTTTCACGCCTCCAGGTGGCCCAGACAGATGTCTAGCATGAGGATTTGTTGAGGATGTCTCGAACCAGAGGCTTGTTTTCACGTGTCCAGGTCGCCCAGGCGGATGTCTAGCATGAGCATTTGTTGAGGATGTCTCGAGCGAGACGCTTGTTTGCACGTGTCCAGGTTGCCCAGGCGGATGTCTAGCATGAGGATGTGCTGACAACGTCTTGAGCGAAACGGGTGTTTTCACGTGTCCAGGTCGCCCAGGCACAGCACAGCCCTCGGCACGGTACATCAATATCGATACCCTTAGCATTGCAGCCTGGCATGTTGCCTGGCACGTTCCGCGGAGCGTCCCGTGGCGAGTCCCCCTGGCACGTCCTCGGCACGTCCATTGGCACGTTCCGTAGCGCGTCCCCTTGGCACGTCCCGCGGTGCGTGCCCATTGCACGTCCCCTGGCACGTCGCCTGGCGCGTTCCTTGGGACGTTCCGCGGCGCGTCCTCTTGGCATGTTCCCTCTGTCGATTAGTTCTGGGGCAGCTACCATCTGCTCAGGCAGCTCGAGCTTACGCTCCAGATCAGTTCGGTGAGGACTCGGATGCCAGGGAGGACTCGATCCACAACGCTATGTAGAGCACAATCGCGGCATGGCACATCGCAGTTCAGCACGGCGCAGCACAGCACAGCCCACGGCACGGTACATCAAGATCGATACACTCAGCATTGCAACTTCGGCACGTTCCGTGGCGCGTCCCGTGGCGAGTCCCCCTGGCACGTCGCGCGGCGCGTCTCCTGGCACGTCCATTGGCACGTCCGTTCCGTAGCGCGTCCCCTCGGCACGTCCCGCGGTGCGTCTTCGTGGCACGTCCCTTGGCACGTCGCCTGGCGCGTCCCTTGGGACGTTCCGCGGCGCGTCCTCCTGGCATGTTCCCCTGTCAGTTAGCTCAGAGGCAGCTACTATGTGCTGAGGCAGCTCGAGCGTAAGATCCAGATCAGTTCGGTCAGGATTCGGATGCAAAGGAGGACTCGATCCACAACGCTATAGAGCACAATCGCGGCATGGCACATCGCAGTTCAGCACGGCGTAGCACAGCACAGCCCTCGGCACAGTACATCATCATCGATACATTCAGCATTGCACATGCCCGTCGCCCAATCAGGTGTCTTTGAAATGTTGCAATGCATTACATTTCTATCTTCCTTTCCGGGTTCGTGGGTCGATCATGTTCCGACCGATGGGTATGAAGGAGGGGAAAAACACACAGACACAATTAATCGTCGATTCCCCAGAAGATATGGGAAAATCTGGGCAGTGGGGGGGAAGACAAAAAACCCAGAAAGCATGAGAAGATATGGGGAATATTTCTATTTGTGTGTTTATTTAATCGCTTCTCTCATTCCGCCGGCCCTGGAGCGCTATTTGGGGCCTCTTGGGGCCGTCTTGGGGGCTTCTTGGGGGCTTCTTGGGAGCGTCTTGGGGCTCCTTGGCGGCGTATTGGGCCCCCCAGGGGCCTCTTGGGGGGCTCTTGGGGGCCCCTTGGGGCGGGAGGGGGGGTAGTCGATTGCAGCCCCCCCTCGGAGGCCACGATCCTCATGAGGGGTGGCGAAAAATAGCCTCCCCCCTGGGGATCGCCCGGGACCCAGCCGGGGATCGGCCGGGGTACTTTTCGCCCAGGGCCCCCCAGGGGCCGCCCCGCGCGCGCGAACTAGAAATATTAAGTAGTTATCGGAGATCTTAGCACGCCTCTGGCCCGTTGGGCCGGCGAATTTGTCTGTCCTGGGGCCCCTTGAGGTATGGTGCGCGCGGGTCGGGTCGGACGGGCGGGACCCGAAAGTGCCATGTTCATGCAGTTCGCGCGCGCGTGCGCTCCAGCGAGCGGGTCGGGTCCAGCAGGCGGGGCGGGCCGGGCGGCTGGACCCTGACGGCCGGGTCGGGTCTGGCTGGCGCGACACGGGAAGGCGATGCACCATCGAGGTGGCACGCGTTTGCTTTGACTCGCGTCACGGGTCGGGCGGGACGGGTCGGGCGGGCCAGTCTGAGCCGAGGCCGCGGGGTCGAGCCTCGCGGGCAGCACATGACTAGAAGGTGCGGCATCGAGGCGGGGCGGGCTGGGCGGGCGGGGCGAGTCGCGCCTGGCCATCGGGGTGTGCGCAATCTCCGGCTACCCCGCAGACTTTGGCTTCGCGGCTTCTCCAGGATTCTCCATACTTTTCTGGCTTCTCTGGGTGTCTCCGTAGTTCTCTTGGGCGTGTCCGATTTTTCTGGCCGTCGCCGGCGACTGGGCTTCTCTGGTTTCTCCGGATTCCTCTTGGCTTCCTTGGGTTTCTCCAGCATTTTCTGGGCTTCTCCGGGCTTCTCTGGGTTTCTCTGAGCTTCTCGGGGCTTCTCCAGGCTTCTCCAGGGTTCTCCGGGCTTCTCCGGTCTTCTCGGGGCTTCCCTGTGCTTCTCCGGGCTTCTCGGGGAATTCTCTGGGCTTCTTTGGGCTTCTCTGGGCTTCTTTGGGCTTCTCCGGGCTTCTCTGGGCTTTTTCGGACTTCTCCAGGCTTCTCCTGCTCATCCAGCCTGGCTTCATGAATGCCGGGGGTAGGGTGGACGCGGAGACCAGCCGGAGCGGCAAGAGAAGCCTGTTCTCGAGGAAGCGCTAACGAGGACCAGGGCGCGCGGATTAGCGACGGGTCCAGTTCCACACGGAATCAGCGCGTTCCCCCGCCACGTCAGGCGGCATTGGCTTCATGTTTCGAGGTGCACGTTCCCTGATCCATGGATCTGGCGCCCACGCGCCAGGTCCACGGATCCATCATCCATGCTAGCGTGTGACTATGCTCGCCCACCCCGCACCCGCGCCCGTCCCCGAGCCCGAGCCAGGGCCCGCAGATGGCCGACTCGGGGCATCAGCACACCGCCACCTCGCAGCTCCCGCCGAGCCCTGGCAGCCAGAACGGGCCCCGACGCCCCCGAGGGCCACTATGGCACCAAGATGGTAGTGGACACATTTGCTTGCCTGCCCCCCTCCCCGTCCACGTCCTCCTCCCCGTCCACAACGTGGACCGCCGCGGGTACTCCAGATTTCGTAATAAAGGGAGGGGGGTCTCATTTCGGGGGGGTCTTTTCCAGGCTATCTTGGAGGGCCTGGAGGGGTCTGGGGACGATGTTTTGGAGGGTTCTCCCACGAGGGAGGTCTGAAATGGCTTGTCTTGGAGGGTCCAGACCCCCTCCCTTTTATTACGAAATCTGGAGTATCGACCTCTTCCCTGGGGATGCTTTCTCATACGGAGTGGTCTTTTGATGGTTGCGGGGGGCCGGTGGGAGGCCCTGGAGGCCGAGAACCGACGAACACCTCACGGCGGGTTTTTTCACGATGCGACGAGGCGTACTCCAGATTTCGTAATAAAAGGGAGGGGGTCTGGACCCTCCAAGACAAGCCATTTCAGACCTCCCCCGTGGGAGAACCCTCCAAAACATCGTCCCCAGACCCCTCCAGGCCCTCCAAGATTGCCTGGAAGAGACCCGCCCCGAAGTGAGACCCCCCTCCCTTTATTACGAAATCTGGAGTAGGCCTCCGCCGCAGAAACATATACACAGACACCCTCCGACGGACAATTCCTCGGCCCCAGGGGAGGGTCGCGGTGTATAAATCACCACTGGGAGCCAGCGATTTTCTACACCGCCGCCTTCACTGAAGGTAGGTGCAGAATTCGTCGGAGGGTGTCTATGTACACATTTTCGTGGCGTAGGGACTCTTCCCCCCCACTCCCTCCGCCCTTCCTCTTCGCTTTCCCCCTCCCGGGCCCTGGAGGCGAGGATGGCGGTGCCGCTGGCGGTCGCGGGTGCCTTCCACACGGACTTCATGGCCCCGGCGGTGGACAAACTCAAGGAGGGGCCGAGGGGAACAGAGAACAGAAAACAAAACAGAAAAACAGCAGAAAACAGAAAACAAAACAGAACAGAGAACATAACAAAAGGGCCTACTGGAGGAGGAGAACAGAAAACGGCATGAACATACATTTTCGAAGGTTTGTGCGAATTTCTTGAGTTGGCGCTGGACCCCCCGCCTTCGCTGACGCGCGAAGCGTGCCAGGGGTGTCGCCAGCCCAGGGGCGTCGCTGGCGGCGCTGCCAGAAGCTTTCGACAGTTTATACTTTATGTTGTGTGCGCCTAAAGAGTTGAATGGGGGTCAATTTGACGTTACGGTCGGACCGAGTGTAAGATCGAGGTTGGTTCGTGGACGGTACCTACTGTTCTTCGTGTTTGTTTGTTGGTTGTTTTTGTGCATCTTGGGGGAGGGTATCCTCGAATGTTCCTCAGTTTGGCCCGCGGAGGGTCTCATGTCCGTGATGGATGTTCTTCTGTCCTGGGTCCGGCCGCAGTGCACAGCCGGGGAGCAAGTTCTAACACCATTCGCAAACTTCTCGCATGCAATGATATGCCAGCGGGGACGCCCCCGGGATGATCATCAGGCGATGTTCGCCCTGCAGTGTTGGGGCAACGTGCCCGGGTGCGCAGCATGGCCGCGCCATCGCCTCGCCCGCTCTTGGCGTGCGCGCCCCGTGGCAGCAGCTCCGGCACTCTCCACCCGCGGGGCAGCTGCTCCCGCCTCGGGCCCGTTCCGGGAGGGCCCGGGCCCCTCGGAGGAGGGAAAGGCACCCATGCCTCCTATGTCGGGGTCGGCAAAGGGGGGGGGGTGATGACCAGGGGGGGGGGATATCATGGCGGGGGCCATGATATTTCCCCAGATTTCATGGCGCCCCTTCTTATTCCATTACGTCCTGGGCCCCCCCGCAAGGGCCGCGCACATGCCGCCGGTCATGATTGGCCCCCCCCCCCTTCTTGGACACCCCCCTCTTGGCCGCTCCCGACTATACCTCCTCGGATGCCCTCGTTGCCATCGCCGGATTCGCCTCGCACTCTCCCGGTCACAGAACAGTCAGAGCGCACCCTGGGAGAGGTCCAGGGAGCAGCGGCATTGGTGCCTTCCGGTCTCCCCAGCCCCGGCGGCCGCCGCGCGCGGCCCCCAGATTCGGGACGATCGACATTGGCGCGGCAAGGATGGGTACAGCCAAGGCGCAGAATAGGGATGCAGGGGCCATGTTGGCGCCTTCGAACGGGACTGGCCAGCGAAAGTCGCCAAGGATGAGCCGAGGGGGCAAGGATGCGCCGGGTATTGTTCCAGGCTGATGCCCTCGGACAGAGGGGTTCGGTGGCAAATCATGGGAGCCTGGAGTGTACCCTCTGAATTCCGTCTTTAGCGTCGATTTGCGTCGATTATCGTTTGGGAGTCGATGAGATAACGCCAGTTTAGCGTCGGTTAGCGTCGATTAGCGTCGATTTGGCGTCGACAAGCGTCGATTTGGCGTCGATTAGCGTCGATTCGCAAGAGCTGGCAAGATGGTATGGGAGGCTCCCACGAGCTGCTACCGAAGAGGGGCATGGTGAATAACTTTGATTGGGGCCCTCTGAGACCTCACTTTTCGTGGGGGCGTCCGGGTCTGCAGCTCGGGGCGGCGCGGGGGTGGTCGTCGACCTGCGGGAGTCTTGAATGGCCAGCCGGGTCCATGTGACCTGGCCAGGGAGCGGGCAGCTCGGGCACGGCCGGCGCGGAACACATCGCACACCCAGGGGTTGAATAAGTCCACCCGCCGACAGCCAAGTCACTGCGCGGCGCGGTGAACAGCTCCCCACCCGCCTCAGTTGTTCACCGCTTCCCGCTCGCGGCTTCCTTGAAAGAGCTGTTCCGTGCCGAAAGCCCACATCTTGCCTTTCAGGATTTGAAGCCTCTCATTTTTTTCCCTCCCCAACCATCCTGTTGTGTTGGGTTCTCGTTTTGAAGAGACAGCGCCCCACGTCACTCACTCACTCCTCCTCGTCCTCCCCCCTCACCGCCCGCATGCGTCACCCACACCCATTTCGCCACACCCCTTAAAATTTTTGTGGCCCCACAGGGAGCTTTACCGAAGGCCCCAGTGCCACCGCCCGCATGCGTCACCCACACCCATTTCGGCACACCTCTCACATGTTTCGTGGCCCCATAGGGAACTCCACCGAAGGCCCCTGCCACCGTCCGCATGCGTCACCCACACCCATTTCCCCATTTCGGCACACCCCTCACACGTTTCGAGGCCCCATCGGGAGCTCCACCGAAGGCCCCAGTGCCACCGCCCGCATGCGTCACCCACACCCATTTCGGCACACCCCTCACACGTTCCATGGCCCCATAGGGAGCTCCACCGAAGGCCCCAGTGCCACCGCCCACATGCGTCACCCATGCCATTTCGGCATATCACTCACACGTTTCGAGGCCCCATAGGGAGCTCCAACGAAGGCCCCGGTGCCACCGCCCGCATGCGTCACCCACGCCCATTTCGGCACACCCCTCACACGTTTTGTCGCCCCATAGGGAGCTCCAACGAAGGCGTTTCGTGGCCCCACAGGGAGCTCCACCGAAGGCCCTAGTGCCACCGCCCGCATGCGGCCCCACACCCATTTCGCCCCCTCCCCCCCCCACACGTTTCGTGGCCCCGTAGGGAGCTCCACCGAAGGCCCCAGTGCCACCGCCCGCATTCGTCACCCACGCCCATTTCGGCACGCCCCTCACGTTTCGTGGCCCCAGAGGGAGCTACAACGAAGGCCCCGGTGCCACCGACCGCACGCGTCACCCACGCCCGTGTCGTCACACCCCTCACACGCTTCGTGGCCCCAGAGGGAGCTCCAACGAAGGCGCCAGTGCCACCGCCCGCATGCGTCACCCACACCCATTTCGGCACACCCTTCAAACGTTTCAAGAGGCCCCGTAGGGAGCTCCACCGAAGGCCCCAGTGCCACCGCCCGCATGCGTCACCCACACCCATTTCGGCACACCCCTCACATGGTTCGTGGCACCATAATCAGGGAACTCCACCGAAGGCCCCAGTGCCACCGCCCGCATGCGTCACCCACACCCATTTCGGCACACCCCTCACGCGTGTCGTGGCCCCATAGGGAGCTCCAACGAAGGCCCGGGAGCCACCGCCCGCATGCGTCACCCACGCCCATTCCGGCACACCCCTCACTCGTTTCGCGGCCCCAGAGGAAGCTCCAACGAAGGCGCCAGTGCCACCGCCCGCATGCGTTCCCTACACCCATTTCGTCACACCCCTCACACGGTTCGTGGCCCCATAGGGAGCTCCACCGAAGGCGCCAGTGGCTGCGTTCGCATGCGCCCACCGCACCTATTTCGGCACACCTCTCACGCGTTTCGTGGCCCCATCGGGAATTCCACCGACGGCCCAAGTGGCTGCTTTCGCATGCGCCCACTGCAGAATTCTTGGCACACCCCTCACACGTTTCGTTGCCCTATAGGGAGCTCCGAATGCGGTGCATACAACGACGGTGTTCACACCTGCATATGGTTGGGTCCTTCGTGAGTTTTTTTTTTTTTTTTTTTTTTTTTTTTTTTTTTTTTTTTTTTTTTTTTTTTTTTTTTTTTTTTTTTATTTTTTTTTGTTTTTGTTTGTTTTTTGATATTCTGGCTGCGGCCCCAGGTTTAAAGTGGTATTGGTGCGATGTTTTACTACACATTGCTCACCATGCTTCGTCGTCCAATTGGCCGCTGTCGTGGACGTTATTCGGTTCGGCCTTGCAACGTCGCTCGCACTCTTTTGGTCTCCGTGCCCGTTCCGATTTGGTTTTACACTTTTTTACGGGGACGCAGCTTGGTTTTCACGGGGTGAGCTAATCGAGCTGCCTCTGCGGATGTGGTGAGCCCGCGGCGCGTGTTGGCCAGCCCCAGCGGAGGATAGCTAGTTTCTCCGCATCCTCTGGCGGCGCGCCTAGGGGGTGAGGCACAGGCGGCGGACCTTCTCATAAGACTCTGTCAGATGGCTTCTCGTCTTTTGCGAATTTTTCTACGCCTTCCCCGAGGCCACAGGCCTTCTCAGCAGGCCCGAGGGCTTCTGAGAAGCCCCGCCGTCTTTGGGAAGGCCGGCCCTCTATCTCACTTCCCACCTCGGCGCGCGGTTACTTCTACCACGGTGTCGCGAGCGGGTTTTGCTCGCTCTGCAGTCGTTCGCCCCGACGTCGAGGAGCTCGGCAGCTGTTTCCGAGGATGTCGGATCCAGGGTAGGAGGAGGAGGGGGAGGAGGAGGCGGAGGAGGCGGAGGAGGAGAGGAGGAGGAGGCAGAGGAGGAGGAGGAAGAGGAGGTGGAGGAGGAGGGACAGTGGCGGGCCCTGTGCTCACCTCGAGGAGGCGGCGCGATGAGGCAGCCCCTGAGACCAGCGGCCTCCAGAGAGACCATGGGAGGTGCTATGAGTCATCAGGAGGGAGAGAAACACCACAGACACACATACTCGTCGATTCCCAGGAGACCAGGGAACTGTTAGGGACGTGGGGGGGGGGGGACGACGCGACTCCAGAGCATAGGGGAAAAAGCATGGGGAGTCCTGGGATGTTTGTGCCTGGCTATGTGTGTCTCCCTCGGCCCCTGCAAGAGTAGCCTGGAGGAGCGGCGGCGGAAGGCGCGCGGGGCGAGGCTGGCCCTGCGGCGCCCACGAGGGGTTGGCGCGGGGGGCGGGTGGGCGCTCACGAGGGGTTGGCGCGGGGGGCGGGTGAGCGGGTGGGCGCTCACGAGGGGCTGGCGCCCACGAAACTTGGCGCGGGGGGTGGGTGGGCCTCCAAGAAGGGACGTCGGCGGGGGCTGCTCGGAATCGGAGAAGAAAACACGCCATTCACGTGAACGCTTGCTTCGACCCGTTTCGACCCGTCTGGCCTGTGCGCCGACCTGCTCAGACTGACCTCGTCCTGTCCGGCCCGGCCCCCGCAAGGGTCGGCTGGAGAAGAGCCGCCGAGCCCTCAGGGATCCTTCTCGGAGGCCGAGCGTGCCCATGGAAGAAGAAGAAGACTAATAATAACAATAAGAAGAAGAAGACGAATAATAATAGTAATGATAATACCAATAAGAAGAATAGTAATATTACTCGTAATAATAATAATAGGAAGAAGAAACATAATAATAAGAAGAAGCAACGGCATTAACGTAAACTTTGGGGGCTCCGCGCGGGCTGGACCCTCCTCCCTGGCGCGCGTAGCGCGCCGCAAAAGCTTACGTTTGTGGCGTTTCTCTTCCTTCTCCTTCTCCGTCTTCGTCTTCTTCTTCGTCTTCTTCTTCTTCTTCTCCTCCTCCTCCTCCTTCTCCTTCTCCTCCTCCTCCTCCTTCTCCTTCTTCTTCTTCGTCTTCGTCTTCTTCTTCTTCTTCTGAGGAGGAGGGCAGTTTTTCCAGCTCGCCCGGCTTCGAGGAAACCTTCTTCCGGAAGCCGCCAGGCCCCTCTCCAAGAAGCCCCCCCTGCCCCCTGGCGCTCGCCAAGAGTACCGCCGCCGAGAGCACCCGCGGAGAGGGCCTGGGCGTCGCCGCGCGGGCGTGCAGTGGCACCTGGCCCCCTTGCGCTCTCCTCAGCCTTCCGCTTCTGCTCGTCATCTCCCTCTTTGTGCCTCCTCCTCCTCCTCCTCCTCCTCGATCACTTCCTCGTCGTCGTCGTCGTCGTCGTCGTCGTCGTCGTCCTCCTCCTCCTCCTCCTCCTCTTCTTCGATCTCCACCTCGTGGCTCGTGGCTGCGGGCATGCGGGTTGATCCACAGCGTTCGCATCCCGAGTTCTCCTCATCATTCCTCCCCCTCGTTCTCCTCTTCCTCCTCCTCTCCAGCTGCTTCTGCTCCTCGCCTCTTCGTAGTTGTCGTCATGCTCCTCCTCCTGTTCTTCTGTTTGCAAGGCAGGCGCGATCCACGCACGGAACCGAACACCAGCTTCAGCTGATGCTGCTACTTCTGGTGGTGGTGCTGCTGCTTCTGCTGCTGCTGATACTCCTCCTCTTCCTCCTCTTCCTCCTCTTCCTCCTCCTCCTCCTCCTCCTCCTCCTCCTCATCCTCCGCCTCTAGCTAGCCGTGCCGCCTCAGGAAGCGCTGTCTGGCGTCGACCTGAAGAGTCCCCGCATTCCGGTCGTGTCCAATGTGGACGCGTCCCCGCACTCCGACCCAGAGGAGATTGCCCCGCCCCCTTTCTCTCCCCCCTCTCTCTCTCTTTATTTTTCCCAACCATCCTTTGGTGTTGGGTCCTCCTTTTGAAGAGACAGCGCCCCGCATCACTGACACACTCTTTCTCCATCTCCTCCCTCCTCCTCCCCTTCCTCCCCTTTTCCCTGCGTTTCATCCACCGAGCACAGCGTTTCGTGGCCCCACAAGGGGGCTCCACCGAAGCCCCCAGTGCCACCGCCCGCATGCGTCACCCACACCCATTTCGGCACACCCCTCACACGTTCCGTGGCCCCATAGGGAGCTCCACCGAAGGCCCCAGTGCCACCGCCCGCATGCGTCACCCACACCCATGTCGGCACACCGCTCACACGTTTCGTGGCCCCATAGGGAGCTCCACCGAAAGCCCCCGTGCCCCCGCCCGCATGCGTCACCCACACCCACTTCGGCACACCCCTCACACGTTTCGAGGCCCGATCGGGAGCCACCGAAGGCCCCAGTTCCACCGCCCGCATGCGTCACCCACACCCATTTTGGCACACCTTTCACAAGTTTAGTGGCCCCACAGGGAGTTCCACCAGAGTCTCCAGTGGCACAGGCCGCATGCGTCACCCACGCTCGTTTCGGCACGCCCCTCACACGTTTCGAGGCCCCATAGGGAGCTCCACCGAAGGCCCCAGTGCCACCGTCCGCATGCGTCACCCACACCCATGTCGGCACACCCCTCACAGTTTCGTGGCCACATAGAGGAGCTCCACCGAAAGTCCCAGTGCCACCGCCCGCATGCGTCACCCACACCCATTTCGGCACACCCCTCACACGTTTCGTGGCCCCATAGGGAACTCCACCGAAGGCCCCTGCCACCGCCCGCATGCGTCACCTACACCCATTTCGGCACACTCATCACACGTTTAGTGGCCCCACAGGGATCTCCAACGAAGGCCCCCGCAGGGAGCTCAACCGAAGGCCTCAGTGCCACCGCCCACATGCGTCACCCACACCCATGTCGTCACACCCCTCACACGCTTCGTGGCCCCATAGGGAGCTCCATCGAAGGCGCCAATGGCTGCGTTCCCATGCGTCCACCGCACCCATTTCGACACACTCATCACACGTTTCGCGGCCCCATAGGGAGCTCCACCGAGGGCCCCAGTGGCTGCGTTCGCATGCGCTTACCGCACCTATATCGGTACACCTCTCACGATTTTCGTTTCATAGGGAATTCCACCGACGGCCCAAGCGGCTGCTTCCGCATGCGCCTACCGGACAAATTTTGGCGCACCACTCAAACGCTTCGTGGCCGTATAGGGAGGCTCCTCCGAATTCGGTGCATACAACGACGGTATTGTCAACCGCATATGGTCGGCTCCTTCGCCAGTTTTTATTTGTTTTTTTTTTTGTTGTTTTTTTTTTTTTTCTCTCTCTCTCTCTCTCTTTCTTATTCTGGAGGAGGAGGAGGAGGATGGAGGGCGGGAGGGACTTACGCAGGAGGCGGCAGGTGAAGGAGGATCCGACGACTTGGATGACGCTGTGCAGGAGATGGGGAGGGGGGCGTCCCGAGGGGAGGGGGCGGTACAGGCGGTCGTCGGGGGCCGCGAAAACCCTCGCAGGAACTCAAGGAAATCCTGCTGAAGCAGGTGACGTCCCCCGTCATGTGGGAGACGCAGGCGAAGGCCCGCGGCGACGGCGCCGTACAGGGGGAGGGCCTGGGACCCAGACGTGCTCGTGTCGTACAAAAAGCAGGGCGGGAGGTTTCTCGTCGCTTTCGGCCTCTCGGGGCCCTCGCCGGGCCACGGGACCATCCAAAGGCGGCTCAGGATGAACAGCTGGTCCGGGGGAGCGGGTCGGGACTTCAGGGACCCCGTGCTGACAAGATTAGGACGTCGCATGTCTGGGGGGTACTTCTCGGAGAGTTTCGGAAGTGGGCCCAGGGTGGTCTCCATCGGCTGCGCCTCGTCGAGGGCGTTCCAGTGGTGCCAGGATCATCCCAGCTGGCTGCGTGTTGCCACAGTTATGGCCCGGAAGCCAAGTCATGGTCCTCGCTTTCTTTTCATCCAGGCCCCTCCTGGGGGGGGGGAAAACGCTTCAGAGTTGAGCAGAAAGTCTTTCTTCTCTGCAACCTCGCCGCGTTTGCAGTGCTGGAACTCAGTATCACGTCGGTCAGCCAGAACACGTGCTCAGAATTCGCGTCGTCACCGCGGTGACAGCCATGCGCCACTGAGCCAGGCTGACATGCGCAATCAAATGCAGGGAGAAGGATTACGGGAGTGAGGGAATGAGGGCTAAAGGGGAGAAGAGAGAACGGGCAGGGGCGGGAAGGCAGCATAGGGGATGAAAGGGAGCGGAGAGAGATGAAAGGAGATGCATCTAGAGGGAAAGACAGGGAGGAATGGACAGAAGGAGTGAGGTAAGGGGAACGGCACACAGGATACTTCAGCCGCGCTCCCTGGTGCTGGCGGAAAGAGGCAAATCTCAACAGCAACTGCATCAACACTCCACAAGAAACGTGCTAGTGACGCGCGAGATGGGAACGCGGGGAATACCACTGCTGCTGACACTGCTTGTTGTCCTGACCTGGCAACGGCTACCGCTGCTGCTACCGCTACCGCTACCGCTACTGCTACTCGTCCTGGCCATGGCCCTGCTGCTCATGATGGACCGACCAGGGCGTGCTTTTGCCCTAGCCCGTGTCCCCCGCCTGTCCTTCTACCCTCTTCAATTCCCAGTCCTCTCTCCTCCTTCGTCCTCCTCCTCGTCCTCCTCCCTTCTACTCTTTCCCACCTCCCTCCTCCCGCCTACCTCCCCTCTGCTTCCTCCTCCCTTCCTACGTCCTCTCTCGTTCTTCCGCCTCGAGCTCCTCCGTAGGCCCTGATCGCAGCGGGCTTCGAGACGGGGTATGAGCTAGGCCCTGGCAAGGTCATCGCTGGTATCATGAAGCGCATCGACAAGGACGCGACGATGGGGGGGGAGGGGGGTGCGGATAAGAGGTGATAAATGGGAAGGGCAGGGGGATTGCGGGTTGGGGAAAATTTGAGGGGAGGGGTGGGGGAGAGGGAAGGTGGCCGGGGGAAGAAAGGTGGTGAGTGGTGGTGTCGCAGTGCCAGGCGAGGCGAGGTGAGTTGAAATGGGGTGAGGTAAGGTGAGGTGAGGAGGGTGAGGTGAGGAGGGTGAGGTGAGTAGGAAAGGATGGGGACAAGAGTGAGATTCTTCAGAATGTCGGCAACGGGGAACGAATGATCGGGCCCAGGACGCCGCCGGCAAGATCACGAACATCACGGCCTGAGAGAGCCCCCCCGAGCGTTCGGGGCGTTCGTAGGACAGCTTTTGAAAGCAACTTTTAATTGTGAGCTGTGGGGCTCGTTCGCCTGGTCCGCCGTCGACCCCGTCCCCGGTGCCGGCTCTTCATCCCGAGCGGTGTTCTGACGGCCCCTTTGGCCCAGCAAGGGCCCCAGAGCCAGGGGTTGCCAGAGGTGTGTGCCCCTGGCCCAATGTGCCCCACTGTTGTTCCGCGTCCTCTTTCAAGCGTGACTCGTAGAGCTTCCCTCGAAGCGTAGCGAGAAGCTAGAGTAGTTCTGGAACATTGGAAGCCTAGTTGGTCGAGGAAGCCTCGACGAGCCCCTGGGCCCCCTGGGCCCCCTGGGCCTCGTGAGGAGCAGGCCACCCAGCCCTCCTCGGAGACCCCGAGGGCGCCTCGGGGCCAGGGACAACTCCCTGGCCGCTCAAAAATGTAGACACAAGACCCGGCCGCCGCGACTTTTTTGTTTCCTCTCGGGCGGGCGGCAAGGGGGGATGATCTGAACGGGGGGTCAAGAAAGGGCCCCAAAGAGGGGCCCTGTGGGGCCCCTTTTGGAGCACTTTTGGGCCCTGTAGGGCCATTTTCTCTCCCCATCCCCTTTATCGGGACGACCGAAATGGGTACGGAAAGAATGGGTACAGTGCCCAAGAGCAGTTCCTGTTCATTCTGGACGGGACTCGCTGTCCGCGCCGCCGCGGCCGGTGCCCGCTTTTAAAGACAGAGGGCCGTCTGCCCGACAGCGGCCTCTGTTGGTTTGGGACAACAGTTGTTGTTCGGCACCGTGCCCCCCTTTCTTCCCGTACCCATGTCGGGCGCCCAAAACTATGGTCACCCCCCGGTGCCGCCCAGCCGAGCCTCTCCTGCGACGGCCTGGGCCCGAGGCGCGTCGTGTGCCCCCCCGCGAGGGCCTGCGGGCCCCCGGCGGCCCTCAGCGCCCGCCGTCCGCGAAGCTCCGCTGCCGTGCCCGCCTGCCGCGCCTGCGGGTGCCCAGCCCGCTGGGGTGAAGGTACCCTGTGCCGCTGCCCTGCCCCTCGTCCTCCCCTCTTTCGGGCCTCCTGGAAGGGCCTCGTGGCCACCGCTGGATTCGCCTCGAGCTCCTGGGCAGAGCGCACCCGGGGAGAGGTCTGGGTAGTAGCGGTGTGGGTACCTCGGGGTTCCCTAAGATCCGACGTGGCGAACCACTTGCAACATCGCAGAAATGACTGGAGCCCCAGACCCCATCTTTCTGCGTCGTTCGTCGAGCTGGATCGATCGGTAAGGGCCCCGGGGCCCGAAACGGGGCGAAAACGCCCGTTGTGAAAAAATTGCAGCGCCAGGATCTCAGGGTGTCCCCGATGCAGGACGCCGCGACGGTGCCGCCATCTAATTACAGTCGGGCCGCTGAAGAGTTCACCCTTTTCTTTGGGGAGGGGCTCAGTGTTTCTTACTTATTTTGCAGTTTGTCCTAGGTTTTCCTTAGGTATTCTATCGGGAATCGAAGTTTCACTTCTAGAAAAACGGGCTCGACTGCACTTACACTCCCGACGTCGTGATTTTTTCGCAACGTCGACGCCCAAAGGTCTGGACCCCTCCCCTGGGACCTTCTTCATCCGGAGTCATTTTTTGACGGTCCCCAGGCCCTGTAGGGGCCTCCGGAGGCTGAAAATAGCGAAGTATTTCCCGTCGTGATGTTTTCGCAGTGCGAGGGGGTTTGGGTAGGAAAGCCCCTGTTGGGGGGCGGGACGCTTCGCCAGTGCCTCCGCGCGAAATTGCGCGCCCCCGCGGGGCTTCGGGGACCCCCCTGCGGCAGGGCGCGCGGCCTCGCCCACTGGCGCGGGCGGGACCCGCGCGAGGGTGGCGCAGCCCTGCTTCGGGACCCCGCGCGCGCGGGCGGGCTGGCAAGCATCGTTTTTCGGCGGCCTCTGCGACAAGCTCAGGCGCCGAGGAGGAGGAGGAGGATGAGGAGGAGGAAGAGGTGGAGGAGGAGATGGCGTAGAAGTAGTAGTAGAAGTAGAAGTAGTAGCAGAAGTACTATTAGTACTAGTACTAGTCGTCGTCGTCGTCGTCGTCGTCGTAGAAGTAGAAGTAGAAGTAGTAGTCGTAGTAGTAGTAGTAGTAGTAGTAGTAGTAGTAGTAGTAGTAGTAGAAGTAGTAGCAGTAGTAGCACTAGTAGTGGTAGTAGTAGTCGTAGCCGTAGTAGTCGTAGTAGTCGTAGTAGTCGTAGTAGTCGTAGTAGTCGTAGTAGTCGCAGCACTACTAGCAGAGGTAGTAGTAGTGGTAGTAGGTGTAATCGTCGTATTTGTACTCGTAGTTGTGGTCGCAGTCGTAGTCGTAGTCGTAGCCGTAGTAGTCGTAGTAGTAGTCGTAGTAGTAGTAGTAGTAGTAGTAGTAGTAGTAGTAGTAGTAGTAGTAGTAGTAGTAGTAGTAGTAAGTAGTAGTAGTAAGTAGTAGTAGTAGTAGTAGTAGTAGTAGTAGTAGTAGTAGTAGTAGTAGTAGTAGTAGTAGTAGTAGTAGTAGTATATGTAGTAGTAGTAGTAGTAGTAGTAGTAGTAGTAGTAGTAGTAGTAGTAGTAGTAGTAGTAGTAGTAGTAGTAGTAGTAGTAGTAGTAGTAGTTAGTCGTAAAAAGGTAGTCGTAGTATAGTTAGTAGGTAATTAGTAGTAGGGGGTAGTAAGCACAGCGTGTGGCCGTAGTAGTAGTAGATAGTAGTAGTGTAGTCGTTCGTAAGTAGTAGTAGTAGTAATTAGTAGTAGTCGTAGTGTCGTAGTAGTCGTAGTAGTAGTAGTAGTAGTAGTCTTAGTGTTAGTAGTAGCAGTAAAAAGTAGTAGTAGTATAGTAGTAGTATAGTACGTAACTAGTATTATATAGTACAGTAGTGGTAGTTGTAAGTAATAGTAGTAGTAGTAAGTTATGGTAGTATAGTAGTATAGTAGTAGTAAGTAGTAGTGTAGTAGGTTTAGTAGTAGTAGTAGTAGTAGTAGTCCGTCGTCGTCGTCGTCTTAGTAGTATAAGTAGTAGTAGTAGTAGTAGTAGTAGTAGTAGTAGTAGTAGTAGTAGTAGTAGTAGTACTAGTAGTAGTAGTAGTAGTAGTAGCAGCAGCAGCAGCAGTAGTAGTAGTAGTAGTAGTAGTAGCAGCAGCAGCAGCAGCAGCAGCAGCAGCAGCAGCAGGAGTAGTAGTAGTAGTAGTAGTAGTAGTAGTAGTAGTAGTAGTAGTAGTAGTAGTAGTAGTAGTAGTAGTAGTAGTAGTAGTAGTAGTAGTAGTAGTAGTAGTAGTAGTAGTAGTACTAGTAGTAGTAGTAATAATCGCGCTTCGGCGAGAGCACGATTCAGGCTTCGCGCGTGGCCGCACTTTTGGATGAGAGCAGCGCGAACGCGCAGCATGCGCAGTTGCCAGGCGGGAGCGCCACTCCCAGCAGAAATTTGCACGGCGCTTTGACGAGCATCCCTGCGCCGATCGAGCAGGAGGACCCGCCGTGCGTCGGAGCCTGCTTTCCGAACGGCTGTTGGCGCTGTGCCGGCCTGCAGGGGGAACCGTCCGCCTCCCTCTATGTCACGTGCATGCCCCCCCATCCGTGCTCCCTCCTCGGTGTCCACACCCTCCTCGCTGCCCTTGCCCTCTCCGCCTGCCCCCCCCTCCCCTTGCCCTGCCAGCGTGCCGCGCGGCGGAGGAGGAGGAGGAGGAGGAGGAGGAGGAGGAGGAGGAGGAAGAGGCGGAGGAGGAGGAGGAGGTGGAGGTGGAGGTGGAGGAGGAGGAGGAGAAGGGGGAGAAGGAGGAGGAGGAGGAGGAGGGAGGAGGAGGAGAGGTAGGAGGAGAGGAAGGAGGAGAGGAGGAGGAGGAGGAGGAGGAGGGGAGGAGGGGGAGGAGGGGAGGGGAGGAGGTGAGAGGAGGAGGAGGGGGGAGAGAGGAGGGGAGGAGAGAGGAGGAGCAGGAGGAGGAGGAGGAGGAGGAGGAGGAGGAGGAGGAGGAGGAGGAGGAGGAGGAAAAGGAACAGGACGAGGAGGAGGAGGCGCAGTTCTGGCGTAGCTGCGCGCGAGCGACTTCGGCTCTCCAACCTCGTGCCAGACGGCCCTCAGCGGCGGGGTCCCCCCAAGTGGCTGGCGGCCGCGGCGAGCGGCGGCCCCCCCGCCGAGCTCGGTGTGCGGCCGCAGCGGGCGGCCCCGGCACCGCCGCGCGCTCCACGCTCGCGCAGCGCGTGCGCGCAGCGGGCGCGCGGGCGTGGCGAGCCGCGGCGGCGCGCTGGCAGCGGCGACGGGCGGCCCGCCGCAGGTCGGAAGATTGCCCAGTCGAGACAGTGGCGGACCTCCAGGTCTCGGTCGGAGACATCTGCAGGCAGAGCCCCCTGCCCCTGATGCGTGCTGGGGCCCTCCTGGCTGAGGTCGCCTCCCAAAAGGGTTTCGGGGTCCTGTTGTTGCTCAGCACGCCGCGAGGCGAAACCTGGGCGCCGCGAGGCGAAAACGGGGTGGGTACAGGGAGAGACCCCTGGGAAGCCAGCCAGCACATGGTCGGGGAAACGTAAGGCTCGAGTGCGCCAGAACTCGGGTTTGCCAACGCTTTTTGACGAGCATTTTCTTGAGTTTGGCGGTCCTGTTCTCGTGGCGTGTTGGAGCTCGCGTCAAATTTCATGCTGCCCCCCCGTCAGGCCAATCCGAGTTCCCCGTACTGGAGTGTTTTGTCTCCCCGATTGGTGTCGTTCGTCCAGGCCTCCCAGATGGGGTCCGAGCAGCTGGGGTCGAAGGGTCGTGCCGCATCGCCGATGCCTCGGCGATGCGGCTTGAGGTGGATCCAGATTTTCTCTACGCCCAAGGTGCCGATGCACCGCCGACCTCGCCAGTGCATCGGCGATGCGTCGCCGATGTATCGGCGATGCGGCGCGGTCTTCCGATCCCACTTGCTCGGACCCCATCTAGCAGGCCTCTCGTAGCAGTCCTCCCCAACGTCGGGAGGCTCCTCGTCGCCAGGGCTGGACCCGCGTCGAGGAGCAGGCCACAGCATGGGCCTCGGGAGGGGGCCCGGGGGCCGCTCTCGAGCGGGCTCGGGCCGCGCGAGGGGGGCCGCCGCTGTCTTGTAGTCTGGCCCCCCTCCGAGCGGGGCCGATGAGTCCGAGGCCCCGGGTGGCCACCCGCCGGCATGTCGACGAGGGCGTGCTCCACCGCCGCCCCGCGCGCGCGGCCGGGGCGCGGCTGCCGGCGGCGCGGGGGCGAGCCCCACCGGGTGGCCATCGGGCTCGCGAGGCAGGGGCGGTGGGAGCTCGCGCTGGCGGCCGTCGTCGGGCCGCCCGCCGTCGCCGATGCGGCGGTGGTCAGCGCCGTGGTGGCGGGGTGCGGCAGGGCAAGGAAGTGGGAGGTGGCGCTGTGGCTTGCGCAGGACGTGCCGTGCCCAGACGTGGCCCTCTACAACGCGGCCGTGAGCGCCGTCGGCGCAGGCCGCCAGTGGGAGAGGGCCCTCTGCCTGCTGAGAGGCATGAGGCGGCGCCACCTCCAGCCGGACGCGATCTCCTTCAACGCCCTGATCTCTTCGTGCTCGTCCTCGCGGCGGTGGGCGCAGGCGGTGGCCCTCTTCTGGCAGCTGCGCACCGAGCAGCTCGAGCCCAGCGCGGTCACCCACAGCGCCTGCGGTTCGGCGCTGCTCTCCGCCCGCCACTGGGCCGCGGCCTGCCGCATCCTGCGGGACCTGGTGGGCGGCGGCCGCGCCGACGCCGCCGCCTTCGGCGTCGCGGTGAGCGCCAGCGAGAAGGGGCACCGCTGGCTGGAGGCGCTGCGCCTCGCCGCCGAGATGCGCCGGGCGGGGCTGCGGCCCGACGTGGCCGTGCGCAACGCGGCGATCAGCGCGTGCGCAAAGGGCCGGCGGTGGGAGCACGCCCTGTGCCTCCTGGCTGAGATGCTCGCCGAGGGGGTGTCTCCCACCTGCACGACGTACAACGCCTCCATCAGCGCCTGCGAGCGCGGCCACCAGTGGCTCCAGGCCCTGCGGCTGCTCTCGCAGATGCGGCGGGGCGGCCTGGAGCACGAGGAGATCACGTACAACGCGACGGTCGTCCGCAGGAAGGCACCTGTACACCGCCACTGTGCCTGGCCAGGGCCATCCTGGGCCCCAGGATGGTGTACAGATCCTCCTGGCCGAGGCCAGGAAGGCGCTACCGTGCCAGGGCCTGGGGCGGCCCTCGGGCTAGGCACGGCGGTGGTGTGCAGGTGCCCTTCTGGCGCAGGTCAGCGCCTGCGCCATGGGGAGCTCGTGGCGCCGGGCCGTGGGCCTGTTGGAAGAGATGTCGAGCGGCCTGCTCAGGCCGAACGTGATCACCTTCGGCGCGCTGATCCGAGCGCTCGAGCACGCGGAGCGCTGGCTGCAGGCGGCCGGTAAGTGGCGTCGTCGGGATCGTCGTCGTGGAGGAGGCGGAGGAGGATGAGGAGGATGAGGAGGAGGAGGAGGAGGAGGAGGAGGTGGAAGGAGGAGAGGAGGAGAGGAAGAGGAGGAGGAAGAGGAGGAGAGGAGGGAGGGAGGGAGGAGGGAGGAGGGGAGGAGGATGGAGGGGTGAGGGTAGGAGGGAGGAGGGAGGAGGGAGGAGGGATGAGGGATGGGAGGGAGGAGGGAGGAGGGAGGAGGGAGAGGGGAGGGAGGAGGGAGAGGGAGGGGAGGAGGGGAGGAGGGAGGAGGGAGGAGGGAGGGGGAGGGAAGGAGGGAAGGAGGGAAGAAGGGAGGGAAGGAGGAAGGGAGGAAGGGAGGGAGGGAGGGAGGGAGGACGAGAGGGAGGGAGGGAGGGAGGGAGGGAGGAGGAGGAGGGAGATTCCGATTACGATTCTTCTTCTTCTTCTTCTTCTTAGTAGTAGTGTTATTAGTAGTATTAATACTACTACTACTACTACTACTACTACTACTACTACTACTACTACTAACTACAATCTGAATAATACTATGGACAATAAGAAGAAACTAATACGAGTACTAACACTAATAATAATAGTACTACGGCTACGCATACTACGACTAAGACTAATACGACGACCACTAATAATAAGACGGGAACGACTACTAATACTAAGAATAATACTCAGAAGAATAAGACGACTACTACTAATACGAACAAGCACTAATAACACTTATCCAACGACGAAGCACACTACTAATACTAATATGAATTATGACAATACTATTACGAATACTAATGCGAATGCTACGAATAATACGACTAACACGAACAAAACCACGGCGAATCATACTAACCAAACTAAGACTACCACTACGACTAATGTTACGAATAATCATAATACTAATACGACGACGAACAATAAACATACTATGAGGAGGCTGATGATGATGATGATGATGATGATGATGATGAGGATGAGGAAGAGGGGGCGGATGATGAGGAGGAGGAGGGCGGAGGGGGAGGAGGGAGGCGGAGGAGGAGGATGAGGAGGAGGAAGCGGAGGAGGAGGAGGATGAGGAGGATGAATCTGATGATGCTGATGATGATGATGATGATGATGATGATGATG